CTACTGCTACTACTAATGCTACTGCTGATACTACTACTACTACTACCACTACGACTACTACTACTACTTCTGCAGCGACTACTACTACTACTACTACTACTACAATTATTGCTACTACTACTACTACTAAGACTACTACTACACATAATACTACGACGACTACTACTACTACTACTACTACTACTGCGACTAGTACTACTACTACGACGACGACTATTATTTTTGCTTATACTACTCCTTCTCTTACTACTACTATTACTACTACTACGACTACTATTTCTACTACTACTACCACTTCCACTACTACTTCTACTTCTACTGCTTCCACTACTACTACTAGTACTACTGCGAGTGCTACTGCTATCACTACTACTACTACTACTACCACTACTACTACTACTACTACTACTACTACGGCGACGACTGCTACTACTGCTTCTACTACTGCTCCACTTACTACTACTACTATTACTACTACTACTACTACTACTACTAAATTACTACTACTACGAATACTACTATTTCTACGTTTACTACGACTACTGCTACCACTACTATTTCTACTTCTGCTGCTACTACTACTACTAATACTACTACTACTGCTACTGCTACCACCACCACTACTACTACTACTACTACTACTACTACGGCGGCTACTACTGTTTCTACAGCGACTACTACTACTACTACGACTGCTGCTGCTACTACTACTACTACTACTGCGGCTACTACTACTACTACGACGACTGCTTCTACTACTACTACTACTACTGCTGCTACTACTACTACTACTACTAATACTACTACTACTACCACTGCGACTACTACTACCACTGCGACTACTACTACTGCTACGACGACGACTACTACTACTGCTTCTACTACTGCCTCTCTTACTACTACTGCTACTACTATTATTACAACGGCTACTACTACTACTACTACGACTACAACTATTTCTTCTACTATTACGACTACTACTACCACTAGTACTTCTACTTCTGCTGCTGCTACTACTACTACTAGTACTACTGCTACTGCTACTACTACTACTACTTCTACGACTACTATTACTACTTCGACAGCGAGTACTACTACTACTACTACTACTACTGATTCGACGACGACTACTACTACTGCTTCTACTACTGCTACTACGGCGACGACTACTACTACTGCTTCTACTACTGCTCCACTTACTACTATTACTACTACTACTACTACTACTAGCACTACTACTACTACTACTACTACTACTACTACTACTAATACTACTGCTACTCCGAATACTATTATTTCTACTTTTACTACGACTGCTACTACCACTACTACTTCCAGTTCTGCTGCTACTACTACTACTAATACTACTACTACTACTACTTCTACTGCTGCTGCTATCACTACTACTACTACTACTACTACTACTACGGCGACTACTACTGCTTCTACAGCGACTACTACTACTACTAATACTACTACTCCTGCTACTACTACTACTACTACTACTACTACTATTACTACTACTGCGACTACTACTACTACTACTACGACGGCGACTACTACCCTTGCTGCTTCTACTACTGCTTCTCTTACTACTACTACTACTACTACGAGCTAGTACTACTACTACTACTGCTGCTACTACTACTACTACGGCTACTACTATTTCTACTACTACTCCTACTACTGCTATCACTACTACTTCTACTTCTACTGCTACTACTACTACCACTATTACTGCTACTGCTACTACTACTACTACTACTGCTTACACTACTGCTTCACCAGCGACTACTACTACTACTACTACTGCGACTACTGCTACTACTACTACCACTACTACTAATACTACTACTACTACTACTACTACTAGTACTACTAGTACTACTACTGCGACTACTACTGCTACGACGGCGACGACTACTATTACTGCTTGTACTACTGCTTCTCTTACTACCACTACTACTACTACTACTACTACTACCACGAATACTACCACTCTTACTACTGGTACTACTATTACTACCACTTCCACTACTACTTCTACTTCTACTGCTACTACTACTACTACAACTGCTACTACTACTAGTACTACGACTACTACTACTTCTACAGCGACTACTACTACTACCGCTACTACTACTAATATTTCTACTACTACTACCACTACAACTACTGCAATACGCAACCACTACTACTGTGCGACTACTACAAACTACCACGACGACGACGACATAACTACTGACCGTCTAGGTGCCAATCTAACAATGGTCGAACCAAAGATATAACTAACGAATTATTACTACTACTACTACTACTACCACTACCACTAACTACTTCTACTTTCCTACTGCTAACCTGCTACTACACACTACTATTACTAACAATTGCTAACTCTACGCTATCTAACTACTACAACGACACGAACAACTACTAAACTACTACTATTTCAACAGCACGACTACAACAGCGACCTACTACTACGACGAACGACCGACTACACTCACTACTACTACGACTGCGGCTACTACTACTACAACTACTGCTAGCGACTACTAACTCTACGACACTACTAACAACTGCTCTGCTGCTGCTTCCTCTTTAAACTTACTCCTAACTACTACAACTACTACTACTGCTACTACTACTACTACTACTACTACTACTACGGCTACTACTACGACTACTACTACTACTACTGCTACTACTACTACTACTGCTACCACTCTTTCTACTACTACTACTACTGCTACTACTACTACTACTACTACTACTACTACCACTACTACTTCTTTTACTACTGCTGCCACTACTTCTTCTGCTTCTTCTTCTTCTACTACTACTACTACTACTACGATTACTACTACTACTACTACGGCTGCTTCTACTACTACTACTACTACTACTACTACTACTACTACTGCTACTACTACTACTACTACTACTACTATTGTTGTAACTCCTCGAAAAGTTTCTCTTCTTCCTCTCAGTTAGTTTTCCTCCTCTTTCTGATCGAGGCCCTACGGGGGCGCCCCGCGCTCCGATCTTTCCCCCCCGCAAAGAGAAGAATCCCCTCCCCCTGCCCCCCTCCCTCCCAAAGAGAAAAGCCCTTGCATGCAAGGCGTGCCTTCTGAGAGGCGTCGCTGGACTTTGTAGAACTTGCAACAAGACAAGGGGGAGCACATGATTTGGATACTTGCCGAGCGAACCCTCAAACCTCCGGAAACCTCGCGAGAATCCCCCTTCCCTAAGATCTTTCGAGACCACCCATCATCCGTCCTCCCCGCTTGTACTTCTCCGTCCTCCGTCCTCCTCCTCCTCCTCGTCCTCCTCCATCCGACGTAATGCTTCTCTTTGTGACGTGAGCTCCCAGACCTGGCAGGACCGCCTGCACGACCCGATCCGATGCGTTTCGATTTGCGGGCTGGGGCCGTTCCGATTCGACTCGGTTCGGTTCGAGTCATTGTTATCGACCAGGGCCAACGTGAGCCCGATTCGAGACGGGTCGCTGGCGATGCGATAAGTTTCTTATCCGAGTCTGCGATTCGATCCAGCTCAGGTCTGCCTCTGGACCCACATCCCCGCGGCGAGTTTCTTGGTCGCGGGCCGACTTCTGGTGGCGCTGGGGGGCCCCGAACGGGCATCCGCCCCAGGAGGCGTGAAGAGAGGCCCAGAATGCATCATCCAAACGTCGACTCAAGATTTTCGGTTCCCTCCCGTTTCCCTCTTCCCTCTTCCCTCTTCCCTCTTCCTTCTTCCCTCCTCTTCTCCCTCTTCCCTCTTCCTCTCCGCCTCTCCTCCCCTTCCTCTCCTCTCTTGTCTCCCCCCCTGCCTGGGTCTGGGGGCTGAGTGTCTGCCGCGCTCGCAGGACGCACTTCTCACCCCGCCGATTGCCCCACCGCGCTCATCGTCTGAAGGTGTCCGCTGCCTTCTCCTCCTGGAATAACACTCGGTCCTCCCCAGCCTCCCACCCCCAGACCTCCGATGCCGTGACTTGTTCGAGATGCATGTGGTCCCTGAACTTCTCGACCCCCGTCCCAGGGCCCAGGGACTCGGCTTACATCTCAGCTGGTTCACCGTCCCGCTGAGGGCCCGAGAATGTCCCCCGGAGGTGGAACTAATTCACGCACGGGGGCGCGAATATGCACATCTGTGGTGTGCTCGGGAGAGGAGCTTCTGGAAAGCCTGACGGCACCCGTACTTGGAAGCAGGTAGAGAAGGCTTGCAGGCACAAGCTGCAACTTCGCAGGAGCCGCAAGCGGCGCTGCTGGACCGACGCCAGAACGAGCTCTGGGCTACCCTGCGCTGCCAGCTTCTAGTCTGAAACCCTTTCAGCTCCTTGAGAGCTGTCCGGGAGTATCATCGCGCTCTGCGCGTCACGGTCCAAGCCATCGCCGCTGCCCTTCCTCGGAGAGGCGCGCGAGGGCGCCAAGGTAGTTGCGCATTTGGGGACGCGATGCGCGAAACTTGGTGACCTGGGTGAGAATAGCGGGAACCATCGTTGGATGCATGTGGTCCTCCTGCCCCAAATGAGGATAACCACTCCGACCCTCATGATTTCTTCTGCACGCGCGTTTATGAAAGGGCCTTGATTGCTGGGGTGTTATTTACTTTGGTGTTTTTGTCAGCCTCTCCTCCTCCCGGAGGTCTCCGAAAGGTCTCCGCGAGGTTCCCGGCTTCGGAGGACCCTTCGGATGCCTCCAGCTGCATCGCCGAAAACGCCCAGAGAGGTTCAACAACATTGGGGAACCCGGATCCTCGATCCTCTATCCACCAAAACATCCGCTACCGGCTTTGACGTCGACGTCGTCGTCGTCGTTGCCGCCGCCGCCGCCACCGCCGCCGACTTCGTCAGCGCTCCAGTCGTTTGCGACACTTGCGTCGACGTCGGCGTCGACGTCGCCGTCGGCGGCCACGCCGCCGCCATGAGATTGCCGGCGTGTCCGTTGCCGCCCGCCGTCGGCGCCGCCGCCTGCGCCAGTGGGTGGCGCGGTTGCCAGGCGCTGGCCGGGGCCACGGCGGCGCTGGGCGGCGGCACGGGCGCCGCCGCCCGCATCCGCCAGGGGTGGGGTGGGTCGAGCAGTGGCGAAGCGTCCTGGCTCGCCAATAGGCCCACCAGAGAAAGTTCTACGAACCTTTTGTGGTCTGCACGACAGGTTCTTGGAACACCTTTGGCTGGGACTGCCTTGCTTGACGCATCGGGCGTATGTTCTAAGAACGTTGTTTTTGCTCTTACAACATTTCTGGGTTCTGACAAAAGTTCGTGGTAGGCCTATAGGAATGCCAGGGCGGTCGGTCCCCGCTCAAGTGAGGTGGGGTGGGGTGGGGGGGCGGGGGGGCAAAACCCAGGCGCGCAAGCCGCTGCTGTCCCATCGCGTGCGGCGATCGGGGGACCCCGCGGTGGTCCCGCAGCAGAAGGTCGCCCCGGCGAAGAGACACAGAGCCCCGGATGACGCCAACAGGGTTGCTCTCTGCGCCGGCTCGCCAGGGCTCGCCAGGGAGGGCGGAGGGGGAGGTCGATCCCCGAGGGTCGAGGCTCAAAGAGAATATACCCCATTTGGCCTCTGAGGCGCCCCTGGCGCGCGCTCCAGGGAAGAGGGGTCCAGCGCCGACCCAAGAGGTCGTGCGGAACTGCCAAACGTTATGCTTGCTGTAATGTTTTTTTTGTTCCTCTAGGGGGGGGGGCGATCCCTGTTCGAGCGTCCATGTACGGCCCCATGTTGCCCCCAGAATACGAGTGGAGCAATTAGTTTTTCTCAAGCGGTTTTCTGGCTGACACGTATTTCCACTGTGTTGTTTCATTTTGTATGGCCCCGTGCTGGTTCCGTGACAAAAAACAAAACAGTTGGTTTTCCTCCCGCTGCCACCATTCTTACTACGACTATATCTAATAGTGATTAGTAGTGCGAGTAGCAGTGGTAGTAGTGATTAGTAGTAGTGGTGACCGCGGTGCCTTCTCTGGTGCCTTCTGAGACCGTTGGGGGCCCTGATCACGCTGGTCTGTCTCGAGACCGCCGCTGGTCGCCGAACACCTGGCAGGTCCACCGCAGGCCGGGTCCATCTGTCAGGCCAACCTCCGTCGCCGCCGTAGCGCGCGAGGCGCGTGGGGAAAAGGCTGTGTGTCTGTCGCGGCCCCGCCGGTCGCTGTCGCACCGTTGGCTTAGCCATCATGTGCAATTATGTACTGGCCGTCTGTCTGGCCCCCCTCCGTCGCCGCTGCACCGCGCGGAAAGTTTCGGAAAGGAATTGAGGGGTTCCTCTGTCGCGGCCCGACCGGTCGCTGTCACACCGTTGGCCCACCTGCGTGATTTGTGCTGTCCATCTGTCTGACCACCCCCCGTCGCCGTTGCACCAAAACTATTGCGCGTCGCACATGCTTGAAGTGAGTTGTCCACGGCGCGCCCGTCGCACATCTCACAACTCATTTGATTGATATCTTGAGTGGTCTGTGCGGCGACAAGTCGTTTTTGCGCATCTGACCACGACGGGTCCTTTGCCACCGCACTGGGGAGATCAGGTCGGGTGGGACCCCCTCATCACAGTATGAGGGGTTATCGTGTCGTGCGCGCACGCCCTGAGTCACCCAACCCCATGTTTGCGATCCCAGGCTGGCTCTTCACTGGTTGCCGGGCAGCCTCACCTGGCGCGGAGATGTTGGTCGCCCGACGCGAGGGGCCGCCCCCGCCGAAGTCCAGCGCATTCGCAGAGGGTTCAACGCCGACGCCGGTGGCATCTGCAGGTCCGTGCTTGACATCGCTGCCGCAGGCCGCGCCCCGAGAGAGCGCGAGACAATCGTCGCTCTCGGCCCCACTGTTGCTCCTGGCCCGAGGTGGCACCGCTCTGCTCATCTCTGGCGGCCTCCCACCCGCCAGTGGGATCGCCCTCCGTCCGCCGTTCGGCCGGTTTGTCCGCCGGTCTCCATTGCTTCCTCTGTTGCCCCCCCCCGCGCTGGCGCTAGCTTTCAGTCGGGCGTGTCCCCCTACAGCAGGGGGGTTGTTCGAGGAAAAGTTTAAAATATTCGGAAAAAATCCAAAATGGTCAACAAATACTTTAAAGATAGTCCCCAGACTATTTTTGGACTATGTTTTGAAACATTTGGGGGGCATTTTTTATTTTTCGTCGAAAATCCCCGTGTAGGGGGACAGGCCCGACTTAACGCTAGCGTGCACCGCTGTGCCCGCGCCTATCGGCGCCGCCCGCTGTCAGTATTTCTCGCTTCGACCATTGCGCACAGCCCCAGCGCGAGCCCAAGGGCGCCCTCGAGGGCGCGAAGTCATTCGCGCTTCGCGGTTCGGCTCCGATTCCTCCTCATCCTCCTCTTCTCCCTTGGGAGGCGGCGCGAGAGCGCGAAGTTGTTCGCACTTCGCGCTTCGCGCAGCGCGCAGCGCGAAGTTGGGAGCCCTTGGAGCCGCGGGCGGAGGCAGAGCAAGGCACCAAAAAGCCTACCCCGGCGGGCATCCGACGACCTGCCAGCGGCAGGCGGCAGGGCTCGCGGAGTCGCTGGCAGACCGTCGGCTTGGCCTGACAGTGCCCTGCTGCTTCGGGCTGGACGACAGGGGAGGGATTGAGAAAGGGGGGGGTACGAAATCTGCTGCACGCAGCCGGCTTCGGCCTCGCCGAGGAGCCCTTTCCTCGATACGCAGCCGCCTCTGGCGCTGGGAGGCGCCGGGAAAATCAGCTACGTGAGCTGAGTCTCACCCCCCCCGTTTGCTATCCCCCCCCCCTTTCGCCCGACCCGACTGTTGTGTCGCTGCTCCTCCCTCGCCTGTCCTCCTGTGTGAGATCCCCGCGGTTGCACCAGTGCAATCCAGCCGGGGCTTCCCCAGCGCAGCTGCGGGGGTGTCGGTGCTCGCGAGCGGGGCTGCGCACGAACGGGGCTGCGCTCTCCTCCGAGGCTGCCGTTTGAGGGAATCGAATCCTGCCCCGCCGAGCGGGTTGCAGAACCGTGCCCGAGGTCTCCTCCCCCTCCCCCTCCCCCTCTCCCCCGCCCCCTCCCCCTCCTCCTCCTCCCCCTCCTCCTTCTCCTCCTTCCGTAGCCATTTTGGCTCAAGAGCCTGCCGCGGCCCGCGCGTCCGTGCCCCATGGTGTCTGCTGGCCGTGCCCCTCGGCGCACGGTGTCTGTGTCCCAGTGGGCGTGATGTACGTGCTCCTCGGTGCTACGTGATTGATGTCGACTTCCGTGACCCCCCTGGCGCCAGGGGTTGCTAAGGCTGCTGATCGGAGAGCGGTTAATGTTTCTCTTGGTGCTCTGCGACGCCTTGGGAAAACTGCTAAGGTTGGTATGCATAATTCAGTACACTTCGCCCAGTCTGCACTCAGTCTTGTTGCTCTCGGACATGAATTGGACCACGGTCTGGTCGCGCCTTCGATTGACTTCCCCATGCAACGTCGTATGCACGAGATCGCGCAGTCTTCGAGTTTGCAGCGCTCTCTGGAGTTTGTGCATGGTATCCCTCATTGTCGGTCGCTGCACGGTATGCTGGACATGGCGCAGGAGCGTGGTGTTTTCTCTCACGCGGCTTGGGCTCGGATGGGCATGATGCGGATGCGAGGTAACAGTGCGCGGCATCGGCGCTGGAAGACTCCCCCTAGCACAGCTGAGGTGATTCGGATTTTTGACCATATTGATCCTGTCGATGTTGTTGGTGGAAAGCTGAATCCTCATGCTGCCGAGTTTGTGCCGGCTGCTCCAGTTCCTCTTCGTCTCCCCCCCCGTGCAGGTGATGCGGCGGACATACTCCTTAGAGAATTGTGCGGTGGACCGTTGGAGGCTGGGGTGGTGGGTGACGATGGTTCTGAGGAAGATGAGGATTCGGACCGCCCGCGTGATGACCCACAGGAGGATATCATCGATTTGATGAACTATGAATTTGGAGACGAACCCTACGAAGCCACCAGCGACCCCGCGAACGACGCAATCGACATGGTGCACTACGAATGCGGCGGTGAGCCCTTTGAGACGGACGATGGGTGGGACGTGCTTGAAGGCACATTTGCTGCCATCTGATGCCGACTACGACGCGGTGCCTTTTGGCGGCTCTGATCGGGAAGATGGAGGCCCCGAGGTCCCGAGGCAAGGTGGAGGGGCTGATGAGGGACTTCGAAAACCCATTCGCGATAGTGTTCCTGGTGCTGTTTTGCGTTCTGGGTGGGAAGGCAGCGATCCTGCTCTTGCAGGACGAATGGTGAAGGCTGATATTATTCGTGCCTCCTTATCTGACACTGTCTATGTTGACCCGGACGGTCCAGATGAGACGCATCTCTTTGCGGATTTCGTCATTGACGCGGCTGAGGCTCTTCTCAACGATGCAGTAGCTCCTGGGAGTGGGAGTGGGGAAGATGGAGGCCCCGAGGTCCTGAGGCAATCCGCAGAAGCCGATGAGGGACTTCGAAAACCCATTCGCGCCGATGCTCAAGATGATATTGGGGCTTTCTCTGACGATGTTGTGGCTCCTCTGTGTCAGTATGGGGAAGATGGAGGCCCCGAGGTCCTGAGGCACGGAGCCGCCGGTGATGGACTTCGAAAACCCATTCGTGGCGCTGTTCTTGGCGGTCCTCGGTATAGTGCAGGTGCAATATCTGATTCTGCACTCGTCGGGGAGTACATGTCGGATGTGACCACCTTGGTTGCTCTTGTTACTGGCTTGGTCGAGTCCGCGTCTGCCGATACTGTGGTCTCTGTGGGCTTGACATGCGAAGATGGGGGCCCCGATGTCCACGTGGCACCTATCCGTGCCCCTCTCTCTGACGACGCTGTGGCTCCTCTGCGTCAGTGCAGGGAAGATGGAGGCCCCGAGGTCCTGAGGCACGGAGCCGCCGATGATGGACTTCGAAAACCCACGTGTGCGAGTACTTCTGATCCAGACCCTCTTCATGTGGACAGTGACTCTGAGACTGTGATTGCGGATGACGACGACATTGCTGATTTCGTGCGTTCTTGGATTGCTGCGCGGGACCCGAGCTGCCTCTCGCTCCGACTCGCCCTGCAGGCAGCTACTCGCTGGTTCGGCCCACTCGGCCGTGCTTGCAAAGATCGGATT